AAACTTCGCAGGATGATCTAATTGAGTTAGCTAGATGTCGGCTGTACAGATATGAGTGCCAGGCTTACAGAAGTACCGTTCGTCAAAGCCAGAAGACGAAGGATTCGGAGACAGCTGAGCATGCTAAAGACATACAGCTGCTGGCGAGTCTCGACTCCATAAACCGAGAGGAAGAAAGAAACCCAATAAGCAATCAACGCGACGAAGTCGAGACGGTTGAACGAGTGGCGGAGAAACGCACGATGAGCCAGTCTCACGCGACTTTTCTGCAACGGATCATCGGCTAGTTGGTGCTCCAGTTGATGTTGGTTTTCCAACTGATTTAACCCTCCCGTGAACGTTCGTATAATCGAAGCCTGCGGCTGCTCCGGAGCGACGGATGACTTCCTCACTGAGAACTGACGTTGTGGGATGATGAGGTTTTTCCCCTTTTCAATCACGGCTTTCCTGAAGCCCAATGATCGGTCAATTGTACTGTATTCAGCAGGGTTAATGATTAAGCCGGACACCAGAATTCTCGCGCCAACCTCGAGGGTATAAATGATGAAGATCGCTAGATAAACATAATCCGTGGGGGCATTGCCCCAATTCACATCGCGAGGATGACTCCAAACGGAACGAGATGACTCGACTGTCAGTAGGATTGTCTGGATGAAGATCACCAGCAGAATAAAAGGCTCAGTGAAAGGGTGAACCAAGATGTCGCACAGCCACATTCGGAGAGCATTGTTCGGACCCAGTAATCCCAGGGACTTGCCCCTCAACGGGTTGCTGACCTCGCGCCATGCCTTGCTATTCGAAGGTAGCTTTTCGTGATGATGAGCCGCCGGGCTGCGAGGCGTGAGGGGAGACGGTGTATCGTGCGCATAGTCTGGTAGGGACGGCAGGGACGGCGGTTCCTCCATCCGCGCATTCTTGTGCGACTCCTCCCTCAATATCGACTGTTCCACGACCTCCGATTCGTTACTAAGGTTGACGATACGCTGAGACATCGACTTCATCATCGAGCTGGCTCGCTGCAAAGCCGACCCGGGGGCCGAGGGAGACAGCGAGCGCGACCTTTCGCCGGGGCTGCTCAACCCGCGCCGTCTGCCCTGAAAGCCGCCCTCCAGGTCGTCGCCTAACCGTGCATCCGGATTGCCCGTAGCAGCGAACTGGGCCGTGGCCGCACCGTATCCGTCATCGTGGTGCAGAATGTCTTCGGAGCTGGAGGCGCCGCCCATGGGCTGTACGTTTCGGATATTCGTCAACGGGGTAGTATCGGTGTAGGTATCGGTGTGGGAGAGATAATTCTCAGCCCCGTCTAGGGGAACGGTGTCAAGGTCTATACTGGAGCCATCGCGGGTAGGTTCTGGCGTGAGAGAGGCACGGTGGGAGGGGTCGAAGCTGAGTCCGACCGAGGAGATTGCTTGGGCGAATGCGCCCGGGTCATCGATCGTAGCGCCTTCGTCCTCATCGTGGTGATGCGGGGGCACGACGGCCACCCTGTCGATCGGAGAGTCATGCGCGATGCGCTCGTAATTGATCCCGCTTCGGCCTCTGCCAGTCAATGACCGGCTCAGTCTGCTCGCAACTCCACCTGCGGTAGTCCTCGGCTCGAGATCAGAGTCGAATGGTCCAGAAAGGTCCTGCAAGGGAATTGAGTGCTGGGAGGAGAGATGTTCGTCGTCAGTGCCGCGGTCATGGCTGCTGGAGGCCATGGGGGGCAGTTCAGATGCGCTAACCGAACGCAGACATCGCAGGCCGCTGCAGGTCCAGAGGGAGTCGGGAGGAAAGGAAGACGCAGGGCTCCCAGACAGCAGTTGAGAGGTGCGTGCGAAGGTGCAAATGCAGGGGAAAAGAGAAGAAGAAATTCACCGCTGGAGGCGGAGGGTGCGGGAAAAAGCTGAGATTTAGTAGTAGTTCGAGCAAGCAGTGTAATGGTGGACTCGTACGTACGAGTACGTAGGCGAAGCAAAGCAGTCTAAGGTCGAAAGAGTCGAAAAAGGGCTGAAAGGTGACCGGGGTGGGCTCCCCCAGCTGAAAACGTGGGCCAGGATCCAATCAAAGCTAGTGTCCGACCATGATGAATTCGAAATTCGATCATTAGAATGGAACACCCAGGAAGTCAGACAGATGGGGAATGGAGGGCCCAAATTGATCGTGTCTTTTTTGGGGTTTTGGGGGGGGGGGAAGAGGGGGGGAGGTAAATCACTGGTGGGTGGACAGATTGGCAGAAACAGCGACGGTGTATGGATTCTGGACATGATGGACATGAATTGGAGTGTCTGGAACTACGCCAATGCGGCCCTCGACTGGGGCGATTTATCCATCCACGACCTCTGTATGGCTGAAAGGGAGAGAAGAGACCCTCAGCATTTGCTAAACATCCGAGCCTTACAATGATTCGAAAAAAATAATAAATAAATAAATAGAAAAACATCACTATTCTGGTTCGATGGATCATTTCCCTACCCGCGGCCTGCCTCATGCTTTCCTCATATCCCCCCCCCCCCCCGTCCCTGACAGCAATGAGCAACCTGTCAGTTACGTATTCCTGATTCTTCTCTGGTACAGGGAGTCTAGATCTTCTTTTCTCCTCCACTCTACACTACGTATTCAGTCCAGCACTCTCACTCTACTATCTTTCAAACGTCACTTCCATACATCAGTCAAGATCAACATTCCACAATTGACTGAAAGTACTCCTCCGTACATACTCAGTAATCATAGCCACCTCGCGCGCCACACCGAGCAAGAAATGGCTGCCTGCGACCAAAGCTGGTCCCCACCACACCTCCGGAGCATCCAAAAATAGAGTCCACTCTCCGTCCATGGAGTCCATGGAGTTTCATCCATGCAGAACCCGCTAATTTGCGTGTCTCAAGGCGTCACAACGCAAAATAAGTTAACTCCCTTCCATAACTCACTCCATATTTAATATATACTAATCCTAAACTTGTATGAACACGGTAGGGCTGGCAAATGACTGGGAAATGTAGGCATTATCGAATAAAAAACATTTACTGTAACTATTGACAGGCTAAAACTAGAAGAATCTAATCAGTCTCCATCCGGTTGTTTCCTTCAGCTGTCGTATCTTTCACGTGGTTCCGAACGCCCTGGAGGAACGCTTCGACAGCATCACCACCCCCTAGGGGGACCCCTCCTCTACGCATAAACCCGCCATTCTCCACGGGGATCTTGAGGGCTTCGCTGATGCTCGGTAATCCACCATCTCGGATAGCCACGGTCAGACTGGCGAGGCTCTGTGCGAACTGGGGCGAGTGCAGAACTTTCCGCAGGATGTCTTTCTTCTGGTCCTCGTCGAGGGACCCCATGGCGGCTTCCGCGATCTCGTGGTCCTGATCAGCTACCGCCGCGTCGTCGATGTCCTGTGCCAGGAGGAGAAGCGACGGGGGCAAGAAGCTCAGCAGGTGATCGACGGTCTTGGCGTCGGCGGCCGCCAAGAAGGGAAGCGTAGTTGACGGAGGAAGGAGATCTTGCAGAGTAGTGAAAGGCCGCTCGGGATCTTGGGATTGGCGCGCACCCCCGCCCAGAGACTGCAGAAAGCTCTGCACGACAGATGAAGGATCCGAGTCGGCAGCGGCCCTACAGTGCGGAAAACTCCCGGTCAGCACTCGTACAGTAGCATATCTATAAAAAAAAAAAACTATAAAAAAAGCTCGAAGGGTACAGCCAGTCCGCCCAGTGTAAGAAGCCTAGGGTGAACATGAGGAACTGTCGAGATATGTACCTACGCTCTTCCACCATCGGCACCGCCCTCCCTCGATCCTTGGCCCTCTTCCCGAACATCGCCCCCGGTAGCATCGGGGCCAGCGCCTCCGCTGTTACCTCCGTGGTTGTGGCTGGGGTCGTGGTCCACGCCCTCTACATCCTCCATGGTCTCATCGTCGTCGCCACCGCTCGAGGGACCCCGAGGCAAGTTGGCAATCTCTTCTTCGACATCCACCTCCTCACCCTGCAGCAACGTGTTGACGATCTCACCCAGTCGGATATCCCTGAGGCTGAACCAGCTGGGGTTGCCACCCTCGTGCTGCGACTTAGATTGCAGCCAAAACAGGTACCGTTGCGAGCTCGACGAGAACTTCAGGACGTAGATGCGACCATTGGTGGGGGCAGCGTTGCCAGTCGGCTTGTAGGGAGTGAAGGTTCCGTCGGAAGGGACCATCACCAGATCCAAGTCAGGTTCGGTGTGAGGGGCAGTTCTCGGGCGCCAGCAGAAGTGTACCAGCTCATCTTCGATGTAGAGGTAGATGTATCCGGGGGTGGGCTTGGGCTTGACAACGTTGCCGGACTGATCCACCAAGAGAGAAAGTCAGTTAGCATCAGCATCGAAAGAGGGGACGGTATGGTTCCAGTGTGTAGACGAGAGGTCGGAGCTCTGCGAGACAACTCACCTCGAGGTCACAGATACCCGCTTTGAAGGTGATGATTGGGGTTAAAGACATGGTAGGCGAGGTGTGATTGAACAGGAGAATATAATTTGTGAAAGACCTTTGAAGCTGAAGGTATTCCAGTTGAGCAAGATAACAAGATAGCAACCTCGGTTGCTCTGAGAGGTGGGAGTGAAAAGAGTGGTAGGTTAGGATAATGGACAAAAGCTGAGCAAAGCAAGGTACGTCAGTTGGAGGTTACCCGCAGTAATGTTTGGGTTGATGGACTGACCAGCTCTCTCTCGCTCTGTCTGTCTCCTACTGAGTAAGACAAGAGCCAAGCGAAATGCATAGTTGGGGCCTCCCGAGAACCCGAGCCCGTCAAACGTGTCGCCTCAGGCATCCAGCAGCGCTATCGGCTCTATCGCTATCAGGACCTATCAGGACCCCTCCGAATCGGCACTAGCGCCTTTCGGCTAGGGCTCGCGTTCACACAAACTCACACTTTCCCGACCTGGGGCGCAAAGCAGCAAGTCACACATCAACTCCAGCAACCACCCGCCGTCGACAACCACCACCTCCCCCCTACATTCTTTTCAGACCATCTTCGTCCCGGTAGCCAAAATGTCGGACCTGACGAAGCAGTTTGGAAAGGGCCAGAGGACTGTGCCGGCCCAGAAGGCCCAGAAATGGTACCCCGTTGATGACGAGTCGCAGGTCAAGAAAGTCAGTACACCGACCATCACCCTGAGGCAAAAGAGCCAGAATCATTCCGAACCACCGACCAGGGAGGCCACGAAGATGCGATTTGGGAACTATGGACGAATGCGACAATTGCGCTGGTGATAAAGAGGAGGAAGACCCTCTCCGGGTTCGGAGATCCGGGGAAGATTGGAAGGCCAGAAGGAATCAGGGCCAATTGTGTCAATCGGACCATGAGCTTTCGATCATAGGGGACAAATCGCATCTTCCGGCCCTTCTGGATCGGCAATGGTTGTTCTGGATACTGTGGTGGAATCGCAAATGGGGATATAGGTCGTTTCTCTAACATGACCTCTTTTTCACGATTATAGGTCCGCAAGGCTATCCGTCCCGCCAAGGTCCGCGAGAGCCTCCAGCCCGGTACCGTCTTGATCCTCCTCGCCGGTCGCTTCCGTGGAAAGCGTGTCGTTCTCCTCAAGCACCTCGAGCAGGGTGTCTTGCTCGTCACCGGTCCCTTCAAGATCAACGGTGTTCCCCTCCGCCGTGTCAACGCCCGCTATGTGATCGCCACCAGCACCCGCATCGACATCAGCGGTGTTGACGCCCAGACCGTTGAGAAGGTCTCCGCTGCCGACTACTTCACCAAGGAGAAGAAGGCTGAGAAGAAGACCGAGGAGGCTTTCTTCAAGCAGGGAGAGAAGCCCCAGGTACGTTTTGCGTCCCGTCGGTCCTCTACTCCGGCAGGGAGTCGACAACACCTCTCAAGAATATGAATACTGATTCGATATGCTTTCCCCTCGGTACAGAAGAAGCAGGTTGCCAGCGCCCGTGCCAGCGACCAGAAGGCCATCGACCAGTCCATCCTGGCCGCCGTCAAGAAGGAGAACTTCCTTGGCAGCTACCTCGCCTCCAGCTTCAGCCTCCGCAACGGTGACAAGCCCCACGAGATGAAGTGGTAGATGTGTGACGCGGCGGCCGCGGGTTCGGTAGTTTTTGTGTGGAGGAATCCTGTCAAAAGGCGGCTAACCATGCAAAGTCGGCGTTTCTCTCGGTCAAAAGTGTGGGGAAAAGCGAACTCTTGCAGCGCCGGGAAAGGGCAAAAGACCAAAACAAAAGAAATCAAAAAACAAAACCTTTTCATGAAATATATGTAACTCGATTCAGGCCTCATGTTTGCTTAGGATTGCGGTTTTTCTTTTCTAAACTTTTTTAATGCGGACAAAAAGGGAAAAAAGAAGAAACCGGTTCGTTATCTCTTTATTTCACGAGAAGCCCCCCCGTTTTGTTTCTTTGGTCTGCTCTATTTCTTTTGCTTTTGCCCATACCCCCTTTCCCAGCGTGGCCGATCTTTGCGGTATTGATATCACCAGCCGAAATGAAATGAAACCAAACAAAAAAAGCAGAATACCTCTCTTCCAGCCTATCTAATTAATCATCTTCTACGAACCCATAGATCTCCAAAGATCTCTGTTCTCCAATACCAGGTTCTAGCGGTACATAATAGTCCTACAGCAAATTATGTTTATGATAGACTACTATCAGGTGTCTCCAACTTCACTTCATTGTAACGAACCTCTTGTTTCGGATTTCGGGCCGATGATATAATATTATAGATCGACCATGACATTGTGACTTCTGACCCAAATCACAGCACGTATATACTATACTATGTATATCTACTCATGCATCATAAGAACCTCTTGTGACGACCTCGCTAAGCCTAACCCAAGCTCCCGATAAAGCCAATTGCTCTCTGACCAGCAAAGTTGGTGGTTTATCAATCACTGCTGGCAAGGAACTCCCTGTCTATTATGTACAGCACTGTAAGTACTGTGGATCCTTGATATAACGAGCCTCGCTACAACAAACACCTCCATTTACTCAAACAAACTTGTGGTTCCACCATCGTTTACAAATATACATACAAAGTGACATCTACATACATAACTTACTATGTAACAGATTTCCTGGTATAAACAGACGCCACTCTGGTTCGTTATAGCGAGGTCTGACAGTGCCTCTGGTAGGATAACATTTCCAAATCGGCTAGACCCCGAATTTGTGCGTTTCCTCTCAATCCCCCGTCTCCCACTCAGGCGATGTAGATAAGCGGGCCTACTTGAGTAAGTACGGAGTTGACAACCCCAACTCCGATAAGAAGATCGCTCCAACTCTCAACTGTCTCTTCCCCACACAGCCCGAAAATCGCACAAATAGACAGAAAACCAAAACCTCCCAATTCATCACAATGAACAGTTCATCTACAAACTAAAGAAGACAATCTATACAAAATCTATACAACCCATTCATAAAAACCAAGGCCTCACTCCCTTTTGTATCCCCAAAGCCGTACAGTACAGTACAGTACAGTACATATACTCGAGTGTTCATACCCTCAAGGCATGACATGACGTAACAACCCAAAACAATGAACCATCAAACACACCTACACAAAAAACACCACCAAACACCACCAACACCACGACAAGGTCCACCCCTCAATCAATCAAGATTCACCCTCCTCCCTCCCTCCGCCTCGCCCCCCTCGTAGTCCGCCGAGCCTTCGGCTCGCCAGCCCAATAATTCTTCACCCGCCGCAACTGCGGCGCGCGGGGCTGCATCCCCACCCCCAAAACATCATCGTCATCGTCATCCTCATCTTCACCCACAGGAAGAACATTCTCACCACTGTCAACAACAACATCGTTATCAGCGTAATCCTTGAGATCCTGCGCCAGCACAATCCCCTGGCGTTGGAGGTGATGACGGCGACGATGAGAATGAGGAGCTCGTTCCTCCTTCGCCTCCTTCTCTTCCTCCTCTCGCCCGCTATTCGGCCGCCGACGCAGGCGCAGTCGCGGCGGCGTGGGGGGGTCGGCGTCGTACTCCTCGTCGACGGTCGTGCCCAGCACGCGGTCCACCACCCCCCAAGGCCCGAAGTTGCCCGTGCCCAGGCTGTGGAGGTGCGCTTCCATGTTGCGCGCCATGCCGCCGATGAAGAAACCCGTCGGCATCGCGGAGTATCCGCTGTAGGCGAAGGTCTCCTCCAGGGAGACGATGGCCAGGTAGACCAGGTAGGTGACCAGGTGCAGGCGGCCCAGGGCGACGGGGAGGATGGTGGGGAGCCAGCGGCCGACCAGGTAGGCGAGCGGGTGGTCGTAGTGTGCGGTGAGCGGGTAGGGGGCGCGGAGGGCGTGGTACCAGGCGGCGTGGAGGCGGGCGAGGGGGTTCTTGGTGTGCAGGATCCAGCGGTGGATGATGTAGCTGAGCATCTAATGTCGCGGCGTTTGCGAGTTAGTAAACGGGTAGACAAAAAGAAACAGAAGAGAGAAAAAAAAAAGAGACAAAGGGATGAGATGGAACAACTCCGACTCACCTCTCGCAGGATCAATCCCCAAAAGATCTCCCAGGCCAGAGACCACGGGAGCGGAAGCTTCAGCGTCACTCGCACAAGGCTCACCTTGCGAAAGCGGCTGGCAAGGGTATGTTCAATGGCACCTTGGACGGCGACACCCAGGGTCAAATTGAAGAGCGCCCACACGGCGACTTTGAGGTCCTTGCGCCGGATCCTGCCCCGTTTGTTGCCGTTGGGCAGTCCGTATTCGCCCTGGGCCTTGAGGAGCACGGCGGCCGAGGGCGTCAGGATGTCGAACAGGAAGAACAGGAGCGAGGGAAGAGCATAGCACAGCACCCGCACGGTGGCAGTGCCCACCAGCTCAACGCGGAGAGCCGTATGCGACAGCACCAGGGTCGCCCATGTCATGTAAAAGAAAATAAAATTGACGCTGGTGCCGCAGAAAGCCCACACAGGGGCGATGAGGAGAGAGAAAATCGGAAGCGCCAACAATGGGTTCATTGTTGTAACCGGTCAGGTTGACCGACGTATCAGTAGCAGCGGTAAATCGGATAAAATGGGCAATGTTTATTTATACCAATAAATATATATTTCAGTATAGCAACGGCGATGCGAACCTTTTTTTCGTCACGCGCGATGTTGCAGCTATAGCCTAAACCAACAACACCCACAGAGACGGCGATACTCGAGCGAAGACTATATAGCCATCCCGATTTTGCGACTTGAAAGAAGCTGGTTGTGACTGCGATGGTTGGATGTTGGATAACGCGACCGTGGATAAGCCGCGGGTGCTTGGCTCCGACTGATTCGGTGCAGCCCGCCTTCGCTTTGTCCGCTCACCCCAAGCCACCAATTCTATCTTCCTTGTCTTCAACCTCATCAAAGCAACGAAACAAGCGCACCAAAGAATCTCGAACTATCATCCTTGGTTTCATTGAAGGCTGCGCGCTCAACTCCGACTCTCTGTAGCTATTTATGTGAAGACACAAGCAAGGAATGGGTCGGACAATGAAGCATGGATTAAGACTACGGCTATATGTACATGTTCTTTAGGAATGAAGATAATAATGGCTGCAAGAATGGGGAACGCAGCTCCGGGTATCTAGGACATAGACCAGGCAACAAGGACTCAAAGCAGGGCAAACAGCACGACACTTCAATTGCCATCAGGGTTGGTGGGAAGACCGTTCTTCACTCCCCACTTCCAGGCCTTCCGTCGGAGGTCGAAAATCACTCCAGGGAAGACCAAGTTACTGAGCCAACCTGTCAATGTGTCTTTTATGATGGAGTTCCGTGGGCTGGGTCCAAGAGCCGACCCTTTCATGAGGTCGCCCACGAACATCGTCGTAATCAAGTATTCGCCTCGCTCAAGGGCACTAATCGCGATGCCTGCAACCTCCTGAGGGGACTGTGGCTTGTCGGCCTCCTCCAGCTGCTTAGTCAAAGCTGGTTTGAGTTTCTGTTCGTTGTCGAAGCCTGGGCTCAAGATCCCCATCGGGAAGACCGTGTGAATCTTGACATCTGCAGCTGGAGCCTCGCAGCGTGCCTTGGAGGTACGAGAACCATTGTAGATCTCAATTTCCTGGCAGAGAGTGTCGGACAAAGAGCGAATAGCCGCCTTGGCTGGGGAGTAGGGAGCGTAGCCCGCAATAGGCACGAAGGCGAGCGTGGAGCAGGTGAAGATGAGGTGTCTGGTTGGAATTGGAGCTTGCCGACTCGGGCTGATAGGGGTAAGCCACCGCTGCAGAGTGGCATGGGCCGTGTTGGCTGCAGTCCAGTACACGGTATCCATCTGGTCCCGTAGCGACTTGATGGATGTCTCGGTGAAGAACCCAGGATGGCAGTATCCGGCGCAGCACCAGACGATATCAGGCTCTTGTCCATCGTTCCATTCGGTGACCTCGGCCATGATACGTTGGCACTCTGCAGGGTCGCTCAAGTCCGCACTGATGTAGTGGAACCTTTGCCGCTCAACATTGTCCGCCACTCGCTATGATAACCATGAGCGTTGAACCTTAGCAAGAATAGCAGGATGACTCACCTTCATGGTCTCAAGCGCAGCCTGAAGCTTGGAAGCAGTTCGTGCCACAATCACGACGTTGGCCCCCATTTCAGCCAGCTGGCAAGCAACTGCCTTACCCATGCCCTCGGAGCCGCCAGTGATCACTGCGGTCTACATAACAACAAATGAATCAGTGCACTGCTTGGAAGTAATCAAATCATGGAACAAGACATACCCTGCCCTCAACAACGAAATGATTACGAGATCCGAAGCCGAGCATCTTGCTGACGGTATAGAGAAGGATTCCGCAGAGAATGGTCGAAACTCCCAATATAGTTGGGGAAGAATCGTAATGGATGAAGGATAGAAGTTGATGCATGGGGGGAGAAGAGAAAGGAAGAAATTCAGAACAGTTGGAGTTTGAGAGATTAAGAGTCCACAAAGGGAGGTTCCTCCTATCCTTGTCAAGAGCGACCTGCTCCTGCTATTTTCAAATGTTGTTGACTGTTGAATCTTTTGATGTTCAACTGGAAGGAACAACTGCGGCCTCGGTAGACCTTCCCGTCCCACCCGGAATCAAACGGTGCAAACCGCCCTCCACCCTGCTCTCTTTTCCGGGCTAGCGTCACTCGGGCGGTGAGCGTTCCTCCCAAAATTTTATCGCAAAAGTTTATCGAAACCGGAGCGGAGGGTTATAGCTTCACATCCACAATCCCTATACTACACCTTACCAACGCCTATCATGGGTAAGAAAAGAAAGGCCGGTGGTCGCCCTGCGGCTCCCAAGCAAGATAACTTCGGGCCCTCTAAATTTGACATTGAGGAGAGATTCGACGATTCCGAGGATGAGTTTCAAACCGGTCGCGATCAGATTCTGTTGGAGGAAGCACCAGAGGCAAAGCGTCGTCGCAAGGTAGCCGAAGATGGTAGGCCGACTCCAATCAGCTCTCATTATCCATATGGTACTGGTTCTGACCGAATGTGATTACAGAGGCTATGCTGCAGCCATCGGACGAGGAGATCATGGGCTATGATTCAGCGGACGAAGACGAGGACGACGAGGACGACTACCAGGAGGACGGATACGACGACGATGAAATGGACGATATACCATCAAAATCCAAGAAGCGTGCGGGTAGCCAGGGAGCCGATTCCGAGGACGAGGAAGAAGGCCTTGCCGCCTGGGGCTCTTCGAAGAAGGACTTCTACAATGCCGACCAAATCGAAACGGAAGCCGATGCGCTCGAAGAAGAAGAGGAGGCCAAGAGACTCCAACAGAAGCACTTGCAAAGCATGAACGAGGAGGATTTCGGCTTCGACGAGACGGAATGGGCCGAATCCGGAAAGGCGGACGATGCGGAGGACGACGGTGGAGAAGTGACGGAAGTCCTCCCACAAGTTGAGATCACAGAGGATATGAGCACTGATGAGAAGCTGAAGATTCTCAAGTCGAGATACCCCGAATTTGAGCCGTTGTCGAAACACTTTTTGGAACTCCAACCCACTCTCCAGGAGCTCAAGAAGGCCGTCGAGACCTTCAACGCCGAGGATGACTCCGAGGACGCGCCCGACTATGCGCCCGTCGCCGTCGTCAAGTTCCGTGCCCTCTCCGCCTACCTCGGTACCATCAGCCTATACTTCATGCTCCTGACCTCCGCCAAGGACGCGTCTGGCAAGCACGTCCCCCTCTCCCCCGCCGAGCTCCGCGCACACCCTGTGATGGCCACTCTCGTCAAGTTCAGGAAACTCTGGGAGTCTGTCAAGGACCTCCGCGAGCCCGAATCCGAACCCTCCGACATCTCCGAAGACGAGCTTGAGGAAGACGAACTCTCGGATGTTTCTGAGGTCGAGATGCCGACGAAGAAGGAGCAGAAGGAGAAGAAGCAGAAGAAGAAGACCAAGGCACAACTGGCAGCGGAAGCCCGCCAGGCGGAAGCGGAAGCCCGGAGAGCGAAGAGACTGGAGGAGACCGAAGCCAATCTGGCCGATCTCTCCAAGCTGGTCACTGCGCCCAGCAAGAAACGCGCTGCTCAGAAGATCAAGACGGTGGCCAAGGATGAAGACGACTCGGACTTCGGTGATGAGGATGCCCTCACTGCCAAGGAAGCCGAGGAGAAGGCCAAGCAGAAGCGCTCTCTCCGCTTCTACACCTCCCAGCTTGCGCAGAAGGCCAACAAGCGTAGCGCAGCCGGTCGCGACGCTGGTGGTGATGCAGACTTGCCTTACCGTGAGCGCCTGCGGGATCGCCAGGCTCGTCTCAACGCCGAGGCCGAGAGGCGTGGTAAGCAGGCACTCAAGGAGTCCGAGCAGCTTGGTGGTGATAGTGACGAGGAGGATAACCGGGTGGCCAAGCAACTCCGCGGTGACGAGTCCGACAGTGACGATTACTACGACATGGTTGCAGCGCGCTCCAAACAACGGAAGGACGACAAGAAGGCGCGCGCAGAGGCTCACGCCGCCGCTGCCCGTGAAGGCGGCGAGGTGCACTTCCAGGAGGAGGTTGGGCCCGATGGCAAGCGTGCCATCACCTACCAGATCGAAAAGAACAAGGGTCTTGCTCCCAAGCGCAGCAAGGACTCTCGCAACCCGCGTGTCAAGAAGAGGAAGAAGTTCGAGGAGAAGAAGAAGAAGCTGGGTAGCATGCGCCAGGTATACAAGGGCGGTGAAGGCCGCGGTGGATATGGTGGTGAACTTACGGGTATCAAGAAGAACTTGGTCAAGAGTGTCAAGCTCTAGTCTCGTTTCTTCATTCGATGGATATATACCACTGCTGCTTCTCACCGGCGTTTTCTGTGTGCTAAAAAGGAGGGTTTTTTTCTTACTTGTACATATATAATCCATTTGATGATACAAACATTGTCCACTATTCTTCATCGTCCGCCTTCACTATGCTGTCAGTAGTAAGTAGTTGACTAAGGATACGCTGTTGATTGTATAGTCAAGACTATCAATCTTGCACTCCACCTACGAACCCTCAACCAATTTCATAAGCACATCCTTGACATCAATCGACTCATCATACTCCGAGAGATCTAGGGCGAGGAACTTCCTCGCGAGCGTATCCTATGATTCTCTGAGTCGCTGTCTCCTGATATAAAAGCAAGCAAAATCACACATACCGCTTGTTCCAGGACGCGCATCTCCTCAGCCGAGAGCGTAGCGCACGCCGCAATCAAGTTCTCACCACGCGCCGAGAGGGCCGCAATTTCGGTCGCCCGGTCCACAACAGCCTGACTGATACCGTTCATCGCAGCGCAGCTTCATCGAATTACATCAGCGTGAATTCCGGAATATGATCTCGCAATGTGGGGGTGCATACACTGTTCCGAAGCTCTTATCACTTCGTCCGGGTCGGAAGCTGGTTGATAAAAAAAAAACCAGTATATGAGCATGCAAATCCACAAATTCATGACTAAGAAAGCCGAAAAGAGGCTCACTTGTAGAGGTAGGTGATCTGGTCTTCAGTCTTGTGTGATGAGTCGGATACTTGGACCTCCATGTGTCCTAATTGTAGCTGGGGTCTGGGTCTTAGGAAGCCGTTCTCGAGGATTTCGTGGAAGTGCGTGGCAGCGATGACTTTTGGTGAGTTTTCGAGATCAAGCAGGTGTGTGAGGATACCGCAGGCTAGACCAATGCCATCTATTCATATTCGCCTGGATTTTCAGTTTTCTGTGTCCAGCCCGATGTAGGACTTTTGGTTGAAGAGAACTGACCGTTTTCGCTGGTGCCTTTGCCGAATTCGTCAATGATTAGCAAGCTGCGGTCAGTGATTTGCTTCAGATCGAAGGAGATCTGTTGCAGGTCGCGCATGAAGGTACTTTGGATCTATCTCTCGCGCAGGATAGTCAGTGGGAATCCATATTAGTTTTTCCATGCAGTGGATAGGCTGGCTTGCACCTGCGAGACGCTATCTTGAGTACTTGATTTGACTATGATCTTGTCGGTTATCCCAAGCTCTGCGCTGGCTGCTGGTACGAAGCTGATCAATCATCTTAGCATTTCGCTGAATGGTCTGTCTCAAGGGGAAAAGATCTTTGCAAACCTTCCGATCTGCGCAAGGTAGGCAATCAGAGCAACCTACAGACTTAGTATCAGCTGCTCGTTTGCAAGAAGGGATCGAACGTACTTGTTTCATGTACACACTCTTTCCTGAATAGTTCGGTCCTGTCAAGAGAAGCATGCTTGGGCCATGCTCTTCATTCATCCCATCGGGGTTGTCTTGGCATGTCTGACTCGATGAAATGGCTAGGCAATCTGATGGGTTTCCACCCACCAAATAGGTGTCGTTGGGCACGTACGAGGAAACCGTCAACTCCTGCAAGATGTGCCTTTTGCAATGTTAGACCCTTTATATGATCACAAGTGGCTTACTTACCGACCACCTCTGATCTTGATCATGTTTTCCGGCACCATTTTAGGGCAGACGAGCTTATAGAAACTTGCTGCTTGAGCCATTGCAAGGAGGCTATGAGCTTAGTGACACGTCAAGCCCGTACAGCGGGGACAAGAGATACCTATCAAGCTGGCCACATATGTCAGACGCCTCGAGCAGATATCTTTCATACCGGAGCAATCTCTGCGCGAGATCGTACACTATCTCGATCTCCTTTTCTGGTAAGAATTCAAGAGCGTTAGAACCCACGTTGTGAGCAAGTATAAAGACGAAGCGCGCCGTACCGCATATGAGGCCATATATATCGCCTAGTTTCTCATCAAATTCTCTCATTCTAAAGTCTTTGAAGTAGGCCCGGTTCTCTGTGAAGAACATGAGATCCCATTCCTCTTCTGGACCCCTGTAAGCGGCATCGCCCGCCTGGTTCAATGGTATCGCGATGTTGAAGCCGAGCTGGGGGAAATAGATAACATTCACATCGATATCATAGAACTCAGGAATCTCCCCAGCAATCTCTATGGCAATTTTCTTGAGCAAGCTGTTGAGCCCATCATAATTGTCTTTCATTCGGTCGAGTGCTCGATCGATCCCCGGCTTTACGACCGTTCTTCCTTGTTCCTCCGAGCTATCTATGTCGACCTTCGAAGCATTAGCCAAGGCTAACAAGAGAATGTGCACGACTTACAATTTCCTGAATCATTCTTCCCACCCTGTATAGCTGAGCTGCTTCAAAGACACGAATAGCCTAACCCTTATTAGCAGAGGTGCCACTGAGCCGAATATCCGACTGACTCGCTGATGTAGGGCTAATCCATCAGCACCAGCACTTTCTCTCAAGGCATCATATATGTCGATGCCATAGAAGGCAAACTGTCTGGAGTAAGCATTGATATAAAAAATGAGCACTGTGCATGATGACATACGGCCAGCAACGAAGCCCAAACTGTCGTTTTGAAACCCATGACTTTCCCACTACCTGTTTCGATGCCCTTGCGCAGGTTCACCATGACATAGCGCAAGTTCTTGATGTGCTTGAAACTCTTGGTCAATTTCTCCAGAGAGTTGTAGTTGTCGGCTCTTAGGTAAACGCCAATCAGGGCGTGTCGTTCC